TTTCAGAATGGAAGAGTTGGTAAGAAAAGTTTTTTCGGGCTTCAGGATGAAAGCTAAGGCTAAGGGCTCAAAGGTGTTTCAGCTTCACTTCCCACTTGTGCTCTTGGAGTGTTCACGGCTCTGTGGTGTTCCATTGCAGCTCAAACGGGCAGCGAAGGTTGAAGATTCAAGTTTTCTTTGGATTATTGAGCTGGCTGTTATTGAAGGACTTGGGAAGTTTAGGTTAAATCTGCCTATTGAATAGTCCGGCTGGCTAGGGTATGTTCGTATTTAGAATGATGGACTATTGGAGGTTTCCACCAAATTTAGACTCACGTACTCAAACAATACCCGGTTTCGTTTCGGGCTGTGAGGCTGGTGGTTCAAGGCATTCGCGGTTTGGGGGGGTTGCAACTCTAAAGAATCAGAAGCTAACCTGGTGAGGGTCTTGAGGTATTTTGCGGCTGCGGCTTAGGTTTCAAATTAAGATTCTGAGGCTTTGGCGTTTTTGCAGGGTTCAGGGTGTTGGCTTATTATCCAGACCTTCGTGCTTAATGTCTAAGACGTTTGCTGTCTTTTCGGAGTTAGGCCTGAGTTCTTCGCATTGTTTGCAGGTGCCGATCATCTCACTCTTCACAGGAGTGCTTGGGCTGGAACTCGGGATTCAGGAGTGCCGGGCCCAGAACGGCTGCACTTTCCATCACATTTAAGCCAGTCAGTAGCTGCTCGGCTTCAACCCAATCCAAGTTCATCCTAGGTTCGTGAAGCCTGTCTGCTACGTGCCGAACTTAGTTTGGCTGGGTTGCCTTCTGAAGTTCTTGCTCGAGCAAAGGATGCTTCGACTTTAGGCTTGAATTGGGAGAATAGTATGTTCTTTGCAATTAGGTGCTGAGTAACCTAAGGGTGATAAGGCTCAAGCTCTCCATGAAGTACTCTGCTACTGTACTGTAGCTAACACAACACGAACTAATTGCACGCTGTATTGTCTGTCTCACTGTCTACTGCTGAAAACCATCTTGGGCATTGCTGTTGGTTGGCACAAGGAATCGTGATTAACTGCACCCTGTATCAGAATCGCCTCTCACCTTGCTCCACCATCTTGGCATTGGGCATTGTGCTAATGGGTGGCACACTTAATGCAGCGGCGAACTCTTCACAATATTGTAATTGTCCTTGGTGCCGAATATGATCCTGGGCATGACGTTTTTTGGCTGGCACGAAGTGTAATGTAAGTGCTATCGACTTCCGAACACCATCTTGGGCATTTTGATGTTGGGTGGCACAGCTTAATGCTTGACGTCAGGTGGAATCTGATGCCTACTGCCGCGACGTAATCAGCAGCAGGATCCGTGACGGCCTTGCCCCGGGTGCAACCACCTACCGCGACGTAGCGACCTTCACTCCGAATCCTGTGGAGGGGCTTGCTCAGGGAGTCGTAGCGGGATTCCCGTGTCAAGGAGTGTCACGGTCGGGCCTTCAAGCCGGGCGAGACGATAGCCGAACTGGTTTGGTATCACACGTATTTCGTGTATACGATCTTTGCCCGACTGCGTACCGGAGCAGCTGTTTAGAATCACTGTACGACAGGTGACCTTGCACTGGCAGACTTGTTGCTAGTTTTTCTTAGTCTGGATCAAGCAGGCTCAAGCAGAAATTGTTGTGGCTTGTCATCTGGCTGCCAGTTACTTTCTACATTTCATTATTATTCGTGGGCATTAGGGAGCCTCAGCCCCTAGGCTTTAACTTTTCACCCGGAGCCCTAAAGCTTTACACCCTTGAGCCCTAAGCCAAATGAGCCCTCCCTTGACTTGTCATTTCTCAGGTATTTCATTTTCCTCGAGAACGTGGCGGGGATCTTGTCGCACGAGATGCGGGACCTAGCTGAGCATCTCTTCGAGGTGTGGTAACTGACTGGCTGCTTGTCCGATGCACGCTTGAGTTGGAGTGACAAGAACTTAGACTTGAATGACCGTCGAGTCGAGGGATTGGACCTCTGGCCTGCAGGAGTTCAACCGCCGCGACATGGACGTGCACTGGGTGACGGTGGCCGCCAGCAACGTTGGGGTTCAGGTTGCGAGGCTGCAAGACTGCGTTTTTTTAATGGCAGTTGAGGGTTCGATGCTTGAGTCATTTTTTGTGGGTCCAAGGAGTCTAAGATCTCAGCGTCAAGAGCTGATTATTGTTCAGGTTTCAGTGTTAATGTTAGCCTAGGTCTTCGGGTTCGGAGTTGTTCAGGGTGTTGGGGTTTATGGCTTGTTCAGACTCAGGGTTTAAATTTAATGGACCCCGGATCTTGTTGGCATTTCAATCTCTGCTAGCACTAACAAGCAACATCAATAGCGTGACCACTAGCTAGGCTTGGGTTACAATCTTTGAAGTCTTGTTGCAGAACGAAAGACCTGTCATTGTCGATTTGTGTCAGTGTCAAATAATGTACGGTTGGGGGTAGATGGGCAACGGCCAGAGGTGTATCGCGGCCGGACATTCTTTCTGGCCATGAAGCGTGGCACCAAATTCCCAGTGGAGATTGCTCTTCTTACGAAAGAGCAGGCCGAGGAGAATGCCTCAAGGGTGTGGAATCCCTGCACGAAGCCTGCCCTGAAAGATTGGTTGTCAGCCTCGCAAACGATGGGTGACAAGCTCCGGCTGAAGGCCTTGGGCAACATAGTTTTCCCGAAGCAAGCCCAAATGGCAATGCATCTTCTGCTGCATCAGCATGCTGCACAGTAGTGTGGCGGTCGGAAGTTTTGAGGGTTCCTGCCGCAGGATGCTCATGTTGAGCCTGCTGGAAATACGATGTCAACCACTACTCACTAATTCCAATGCTGGGCAGGACTGACTTGGAAGCAGGCCTGACATGCAACACTCACTCCTCCAAGCCAGGCTCATCGTGGCATCCGATTGTGTTTGGAGCACGGCGGTCGATACGATTCGACGTCATCGTGTCGGGTTTTGTTTGGAGCACCTTCGATGTGATTCGATGTCATCATGATGGTGACTAGCAGCGATTAGAACAGCTCGCCAGAGCCTGGAGGATGTGACACTGCGAGAGAAAGTGTGAGTTTCTCGTGTAGGAGCATGTCATCATGGCAATTTCGATTGCTATTGCATTAGCTCGCATTTAGTACGTTCAAATGCAGTTTCTTGAGTAGCAACAAGAATGACAATGGCGAAAGTAACGATTAGTAACTGGCCAAGTAAAAGGCGAGATTGAGGTTTAAGGTTCAGTGTTTGGCTTTTGATTCCGGTTCCTTCACATTCAGCATTGATGCTCAGTGTGCAGCGCTTTTGATGAGTGTAGGGTTGACATTCAATCAACTTGTGGGTTAAGGGTTCAGTTCTTGGTGATGTTCAGAGTCGTTCAGGTTTGAGGATATCTTAGATTGCAAGGCTTGGGGCTCAGCCAGCCAGGTAGGTGGGGTTTTCGGCTTAAGTTTTGATTTGCAGGTTTTGGTCAAGTTTCAAGTTCACTGGTGGGTTCTGGGCATCTTCCATGATCGTGGTTCAGGGTAGTAGGCTTGGGACGTAATGTCGGTTCCAGCAGGCCAGGTAGGTGGGGTGCTGGGATTAAGCAAGCGATTACAGTCGTAGGACAATTCCACTTTAGGTTCCAGTTTGAGGTTCAAAGTTTTTTGTGGGTTAAGTGTTCTGGGTGTCAGTGATTCCGGCTTAAGGCTCAGGGTTAAGGTGCCCATATAGGTTCCAGGATTTAGGGTTTCAGCACGTCAGGTGGGTTCGGGTTTTATGTCATTATGGACGGTCACAGGAACTTGTGCGATTGAGGTTCAGGTTTCAGGAAGACTTGTGGGTTAGGGATCTGGGTTTCAGTGTCTGAGTGTGCCGGGTTTATAGGCTTTGGGCTGTTGTTGGTATTGGTTCGGCAGGTCGCTTCAGGATTTTAGGTTTCAGGTTTGAGACTTACGGCTATTTGGGACGAAGCGCTAGGGAAATCATTAGTGTAGCAGGCCTCAGCTCCAGTGTGTTTGTTGACACGACGTGTAAAGTTCCAAGTTAGCCACCCGGGCAGCATAGAGTTCGTAGATTGCACAATGGCAACCTATCACTGCGGTGGAACCAGAAACGGAGTCCAAGTCTCAACAACATCTAAAAGTAATTATCAACAGTCATTCATCCATGCTTGAGCAGCCATCGGGGGTCGTAAATGTATGTGATTATTTATTTGTTTAATATATCTGCATATTATATAGTGTGTGTAGTATATTCCTTACAAATAGTCAGTTTTAGTCAATACGTACTTGTTGTTATGTGTGACCATCTATATACTGACTATCAGCATATTATATACAGAGTAGATCGATAAACTAAAGGTGTAGTAGATTTGTTCCGTCGTGCATAATAAGCTAAATGTGTTGTAATTTGTGTCATGTGAACAGTTACCTTCTAGTCTATGTTTTGTACGTATATGTTGTTCATTGTCATGTTTCAACGACATCCTTTCGTTCAGAGCACAACAAACATGAACTGGGAAGTTAAATTAAATTAGTTGATGATTGGCATGCGAAACTCAACTGAAGCCACTGATCAGCTCTGAACCCCCTTGATTCTCCTATCCAACCTTAAATTAGCTCAGGCCCTTGGAGAAGTTGCGGGAGGGATGTGGATTCAATCAGCCCGGTCTCACAGTCAAGTTCTGTTGCTCAAGTCCCGTTTGTCACAAGGCCAAATCACTTCTGACATTCGTTGCTTATTATCTTGCACCGTAGAAGTGCTACTGATAGGACAGTGTGTAGGTTGTCGGAGCACTAGTGACAGGTTGAGCTGCATCTACTTAGCTAAACTGATAGCCGAATCTCGTAAATGTCATTCTGGCCGAGAGACTTGGATTCTATAGCACGTCAGCTAAACACTGCAGGAAGGTTTTGATAGTCAGTACAGTACTCTGCATCGTATGGTTCTAGCAGTCAGTCCCAAGTCCTCTGCGTGGTGACGGCACGATGGCAGCGTATTGCTGAGCAAGCTGCTGCTGCCAACCATCTGACTTGGCAGCATGGCAGGGCTCCATGCTGCAAGGTGATGTTGGCTTGTCGGACGAGGAGCCATGTGCAGCTCCTCCCGTGCGGGCTCATGCTGTCGACACATTGTCGGATGACGAGGATGTGAGGCCATCGGCTTCGGAACCTGCTTCTGGCTCGAAGCCCTCTGCAAGAAAGCGGAAGGCCGGAGCGCTTCGCATAGTGCTCGACTCAGAGCGAAGCCGTTTGGGCCGAGTTGTTCAAAAGGCCTGCAGATGTCGTGCAAGAAAGAACTGCTTACAACAATTCCAGCCTCCGGAACTACAGAAGCAGTTGCTGGACCTGCGCTGCGAGTTGAAAACTTTGGACAAGCGGGATGCGGACCAGAAAGTTCCTTGGAGTCTTGAAACTTTAAAGATATGAAGTTAACAGGGGTAGTTTAGAGTTTTATTTCGTTCGGACAGGTCAGAGGAAGGGTCCAGGGTTTAGAGGGTATGATGCTAGTTTGTTGTTTAGAGTAGGATGAGTTTAGTATCTGAACCTTCTGCAGTCATCGTGCAACCACCAGGTTTTTGATATGCTGCAGGGCCCCGGCTGCGTCGGCCGAGCTGCATTGGCAACACGTCAGCGGAAGCTCCTCGGGCGTGATGTGTGTCATTATGCATTCCGCATCTTGCTTGGGATTGGAAGCACTCGTTTCCGGACTTTGCGGAAGGCAGCTCTGAACTCCGAACCTTGTCCTGTAGACGGCCGCTTTGTGGGACAAAAGTTTACAATGGGCGGCATTTCCAGACAGCTGCTTTTCAAGCAGAGGGGCCTGGTTACCCAGTTCCTCCAGGAACAGTACGATCAGTGTGCGGAGCCAATGCCGACTGTCTCGAGAGGCGGCCGGACCCAGCCCCTCACTGATGGCCACAGAGCTATGCGGTTTCGCCGGCATCGTGGACGGAGGCCCAAGCTGGCCACAGAACAGCAAGGTTTGGCCCGAAGCAGCGATCCAGCACGGTTTCGCCAGATGCGGTACCTTCCACCTGGAACCTTCAAGGACTACCACAACCTCATGAAGGCACGTATGGTGGGCACTGAGACGCCGCCGTCCCTCAAGCTTTTCCGCCTAGCAGCTTGGAAGTTGACAGTATTTTTATTTCGATTGTCGGATTGATTCAGGGCTGAAGCCTCGGATAAACTCTCAGCGGGACGTTGAGGGCCACCTTTGCACATAATCAGTGGATTCTTTTGCAGCAGTGAAATAAGACTCTAAACCAGCAGGTCGGTTCGATTATTGTTGCATCAGCCAGGTTTGGAGACAATCGTTCCACCAATGTTTGGCCATCAGGGAGCACTCGGCGCACGGTAAGTGCAACACTTGTGTTCGCCACAAAGCCATCCTCAAGAAGCTCAGCCGGGACCGTGTAGCACATGCTGCTCAAATGCAGCTTTACAACGTGCACCTTCGAAGACAATACAACGATCGTGTTGTATATTGGAAAGCACGAGCCCAGAGCAGAGCAGCAGCGGTTGGCACCAATGGCTACCAGACGATCTGCCTTATCGTGGACGGAATGGATAAATCCAAATTCCGATGGCCGAGGTCGCTGGCTATGGAGGCGAAAGAGTTCAGTAATTTCGTACGGCCGAATATTGAGCTTGTCGCCTGCATTGTCCACGGCCATACCGTCGTCCTCGCCACGAGTGAGCAGTGGGTGTGCAAAGATTCAAGTGCAATGGCAGACATTATCTTGCATTCTTTGGGCCGGCTGACCGAGAGCGGCATAGACCTCAGACAGTGCGAGATCCTGTGCCAGGCAGACAACACGGCACGAGAGTCGAAGAACAATACAATAGTTCGACTCCTCGCTGCACTAGTTGCTGCCAAGAAAGTCGGGCGAGCCGAAGCACGCTTTCTTCAAAGTGGCCATAGCCACGAGGACGTGGATGGCTTTTTCGGACACGTGGCCGCAATGCTGGAGGAAAACAACGAGCTCCACCTGCCATGTGACTTCCGCCACAAGCTGCAGGCGTTCCTCGACCAGCCTCAGGCTCGGAGCAGCCTAAAGTCTAAACGACAATCTGACCACGGTGTCAAACTCATCTACTTATTAGTCGTTCAAAGTAGGTGGTCTGCCAATTGCCAGGCTTCAGCCCATTGCCAGCCATGTCTGTTTGACTCACTGTTCGGCAGGTCAGAGTCCACGAACGTGAGAAAGTCGTCGTGCGGCTAGAGCAGGTCCGGGACTGGATTCTGGGCTCTATTGTGCAATCTCTCAGCGTTGTTTATTAGTACTGCAACAATGTAACGACCCACGACCCCCCGGATCAACTCGCGGGAAGATTATTTGTGAGTCTTCAAGTCTGAGTCGCCTGTTTTTACATGTCATCCACTCAGGAAACATTTCCTGCACTCTGCCACATGGGGCTGCCAACTGGTTGGCATCGGTGGTGCAGGTGCACCACACGTGTTTGCACTGGACAGGCTGCAGGACCTCAGAGGCCAGCTGACAAGCCACAGTAGAGGGTTTAAGGGTCCCAGGGTAATAAGGCTTTAAACGTAAACCCTAAACCTTAAAACCCGAAACCCTAGATCGTAAGCGGTGAACTTTTCCGTAGTTCCACAGGCCCAGGCACAAATTTACAATGCAGGCAGATTTAGAGGATTGAGGCTTCAACGTTCTGGGTTGAACGTTCAGTGTGGGATCAAGTTTACTTCAGGGTCGAGGGCTACTGCTTTCAAGAATGACAAGGCCAAGTGGACGAGAACTTGATTGACAACGCATACTGGGACCGCCAACACGTGGCCCTCAGCCCAGGGGATGTTGTCCTCAGGACGGGAATGAGTGATGCAAACTACCCTGATAAACCCCCGAGTGTCTTGTCTTAGTCTTGCAGCTACGAGGCATGTGGCCTTGAACGGAAAGTTACAGCAAGTTCCAGCTTCTTGAGATTTGTTTGTAATATACTAGCAACAATCAGCCTACTCCGTGTCGGGAAGCCGGTCTCGTGACCTCGAAGTAAAAGAAATGCTGTGTCCCCAGGACGAAGCAATGGATGCAAAATGAGGATTGGGATGGCAACGGTCGGGTCCTGCGGTACCTTCCGCAGAGCGTGGCTGCCAATCTGGCTTCTTCAGGGATTGTTCCTGAAGGCTCTGGTTTGACTGTTGTGACTTTCTAGCCACTGTGTGCTGCTGCATTAAAGCTTAAGGTTCAATCATAAAACAAAGCTAAGAAGTATGAGGACTCCAAGCAACCAAAGGGAATAACAATGTAAAGTAGTCGTAGTAATAATAATAGTAGTAGTCTTAGTAGTGCATGGTGGTGGTAGTAGTAGTAGCAGGAGTAGAATCTTAGCAGTATTGATCATATAACTACTACAACATGATAAAAGGTCTGTCAGTGCTTATGTCATCAGTGCAATCACAGACTTGGTCGATGTAGATTGTCTCCAGATTGGAGTGCTACTCAATTCCCTTTTATTAAGTGCAAGTGCTGACTTCCCCTGGCAGTAATGGCGGAGCCACGTCCGCTGGAGACTAAAACTGCTGAGCATTGGCGCAAGCATGCATCCATCATGCGAGCCCGGGATGGATTCATGTGGGACGTAACGAATTTAGGGTTGAGTTCGCAGTGTGATGTCGACTGTGTCTGTGCTTTCGTGGCTGAGTACATGCCCCCGTCAATGTTTGTGGTGTGTGGCAGTCCATGAAGTAGTACATGTCAGCCTGATTTAAAATTTGGTTTGCCAGTCACGGTGGGACACTGTTTGCAGGCAGCTCAGGCCAGTATAATAAGTTTCCTTGTCTGATTATTATTTCAAAGGGTTGCAACCGCTCAGTTTCAAACATCATCACGAATCTCTCGCTACAGCTGCCGCCGCAGCCATCTTGAAACCCCTGAAAGGAAACCCTCCACAATAACGGGCTCGAGGTGCTTTTGTTCGCAGAGAAAGGGAGTAAGCCTGCAACCTATGAAGTTTCACTCTAGCTCCAAATTCAACATTGCTACTACCCTATGGTCTTAGGCAGTCATGTGGTTTTCGAATTAATTAGTAACGCTCAGGAGTAAAGTTAGCATTGAATTATTACGTTCAGGGCTTTGAACCGTTCAAGGTTTTTTTATTCGAGAAAGGCCGTAATTCAATCCTTGGGATGGGTTCAGGGTCTGAAACTTGATTAGGCCGGGGCTGGGATGCAATAGCCCGGGGCAACGGTGCTTGGGAATTGTATTGATTTTTATTCTGGGGTTACAAGTTGGAGTCTAAAACTTTGTAAGAAGCAAGCCTGAGCCTGCCACCGCTCAGGACAGTCTCCCTACGACTTGAACCATGTCGCGGAGTACTTGTGCCGCCTGGCAAATGGGGACGTGAACAAGGAGCCACCTCTATCTTTAGGGAGGCTGCTCGCTTGCAGTCGTAAGGCTGACACTGTAAATTCGCGAACAAACTCGTCTTCCGTGGCAGTTGAGGTTCCTTCCGGCTCCAGGGCCAGCAGTCGGCCGTGGTGTCCGAGGTTTAGCTGGAGCTGCTCCTGGTGTGAACTTCGATCCGGTTCGATGCTTAGTACTTAAGATAATAATCAATGGCTTGAAAGGTAGTAGTTTGTAAGGTGACAGTCGCGCCAAAACCAGCAGAGATTGAATGTCTTCCATGAAAGCGTGCCAGGTCCCGAATCAGCTGCGGCTTGAAAGCCACCGCTTGGACCGCCGGGCATTGGACAAGTATAAGATCCGAAGACGAAGCCATCATGTGCACAAGGCAGCAGCTCAACTTTGGGCGGCCGGTGTGCCTATCGCTAGAGCTCTCGAAATAGTGGAGGAAGCGTTTAGAGCCACCACAGTCGAAGTTCCGTAGATTCCAGCCTGCTTACTAGTTTTTAGCTTCGCATTAGTTGTTATTTTGCAGACTCAGACCTGTAATATGTAAAATAATTTATTTCCTGAGGTGTTGAAATATGTTCGATTGCAGTGCTGGAGTCGTGGCAACTGTGAAAGTGCCTTGTGCCGGCGTTGAGGCTGGCAGTTGTGGAGTCGGCGGGTCACGGTGTATATTTCGGTGTATTACTTACTTTTGAGTGTTAAACCTTGGTTTAAGGCCTAGATTTTAAGTGGTCGTGCTTCATATAATGTATTTTGAGAGTAGACATAAGACGAAGGTCTTTGATACCTAGTAACAGTACCAGACCAGCATTTTAGTATTTGGCCAAAACACAGCTGCCAGACTCTGCGACGAGGAGCCAGTCAGTCACAAATCGAGGGCTTCGCAAAACGCTGCTGATCACAAAATGAATGCCTGGAATCACACTGCCATTTCTGATCACGGAGCCCTCCCATGGTCACAAATCCCAGGGTTTGGGACTGTGATTCCATTTGTTGCACCTCCCTAATATCCTGCATGCTCATTTGCCACCTCCCAGGCCTGCCTTTCGTGATCATGGGGGGCCCTGCTGATCAGAAAGCGCCGTGGCCTCAGAGGTGATGGTTCTGTGCTCGAAGCTTGCTTCTAGAAGGGTGGGTTTGTGATCAGCAACAGTGGGCACTGGCATCATACTATTATCAGTTCAGTTCAATAATTTGGAACCCGGCAACACGGGCCTTTGTGACCATGGCAACCCGTCCTGATCACAAAACTCAGGTTGCCGGGTTGGCGGGTGCAACCCGACAGTTTCATTTTTGTGACCTGGGTAGTTCGCTCTGATCACAAATCATACTATTATCAATTCAGTTCAATAATTTGGAACCCGGCAACCTCAGTTTTCTGATCATGGCAACCCGTCCTGATCACAAAACTGAGGTTGCCGGGTTGGCGGGTGCAACCCGGCAGTTTCATTTTTGTGACCTGGGTAGTTCCCTCTGATCACAAAATCGTTGTTGCCGGGTTCCGCTGGTGCAACTGATCCGTATGGTTTCCCTAACTTAGAGCAGGTAGTGTCATGATCGTCACAACAAGCCGGCAGTTAGGTTTTGTGGCTGTCTGTCTTTGGTTGTTCGCGGGGATCACAAAATTTTTGTTGCCGGGTTCCATTGGGGCAACTGATCCGAATGATGTCCCTCGATTGTTGGTTTCATGACCCGTAGCCTTCCAAAACTGAGGTTGCTGGATCGGCGGCCGCAACCCGGCACTTTCAATTTATGACTTTTCTAGTCACTTCGGCACGATCACAAAATCGTTGTTACCGTTGCAGGTATCCTGGGACAATTGATCAGGATGATTTCCTTCGATTGTTGGTGTCATCTCTTCAGGTTCAGTGCACGATTGTTGAGGTCATTAGTCGCTGGGTTCAACTGTTGCTGGGTTTCTTTTCGATTCTGCCCCGAACTGAGGACAGTCAGTATTATGGGAGCACTTCGCATGCCTAAACCCTAGACCCATAAACACTGAGTTTTAAACCACCCTAAACCCTGCACCCTAAACCCCTAAACCTCTTACCCTAAACCACCGGTCCGAGGCCTCCGGGTCACAGAATGGTGGCCTTGACAGAGGCCAGGCATCAGTCTGTGATGAAATGATAGAAAAATTAGGGTGCGGCATGGACATTTAGGAGGATGCCTTGGGGAGGGTTTGCATGTCTGTGCACAGTTGTCAATGTAGTTTGCGAAATAAGCTTGTGATCGGGACGAGCCCTCCCGGTCACAAAACGGCAGGCCTCGTAGGGCCACGTGTCAATCGTTCAAGAAATAACTTAAAAATTGGGGTGCGGCATGGACATTTAGGAGCCTGCTCTGGGGAGGGTTTGCAAGTATGTCTATATTTGGCAATGTAGTTCCCAAAATCGGTTAGTGACCGGGGCAACCCCTCCCGGTCACAAAGTGCTGCTGTTCTTTGTAGAGCTTAGCGTCAATACGACACCTCCTGGAAACATAGAGCAATTTAGTGCATTTGCATGCTTCTGCCAACGTCAAGTCAATGAAGAATTTATTGCGAGTTCCCCTAAGATTGGACTAGAAATATCATGTGCTGCCAGTAGAACTGCCCTCCACCTCGAAAGTACTTCAGTTGTTAGTTTTAGTTGTCATTGTGTTGAATCTGAATGATGTTGAAATCAAATCAAACCAAATTATCAAACTCATTCATATCCATCGTCGGCCATGCTGCAAGCGAAGCCAGCAAGGAGCAAGCCATACGAACCCCACCTCCTGAAGCCTTGCGACAATCAATGTGTTGCGCTTGCAGGTGATCACGTTTCAGGAGATGTGGCAGTGGCCCTGGCACTGGGTTGAACTTGACTTCC